TAAAATTAAGAACGTTTGGATTAACTGCCATGTTTTTAACTATTTTCTATTCATTTTGTTTCTTTTGTAACTGTTTCTGCTTGCCTTTGGATAAAATACTTTTTATAATTCCATTTGATCTCCACTGTTGGTTTATTATTTAACTCTAGAAGTGTTTTATTTTTAAATTTACAATGCTCAGCTTTAGTTACTCTTAACCTACGTTCATACCATACACTGTTTTTCATACTGTTAACTTTATAACAGTGTAATCTCAATATAGCCTGTTTAAAATTGTTTTTATATATTTTATTTACATTTTCTATATACCCATAATATAGTGTTATCACAATTGCTATCACAATTGTCTTTTAGAAAGATTAAAAATAGAATAACTATTTCCTGTTTTTTAGTTTTATGTTAACCATTTTCAGAGGTCTTCGTTTCTTTGAATAGGTTAGTTTCTGTATGGCATTCTGTTCCTTCCACTTGAATTTCCTATTACACTGATCGTAGTATAATTGTTGTTAATGAACCCTCTCAGCTTCTGTTTGGAAAAATTTTACCTTTTGAATGTTTTGAACTTACCAGTTTTGTTAATTTCACCACTGCAACAGTATCACTCCATTAATTTATCCTGCACATATAAGTCTGGTATAATGGTTTATATGCAATATGAATTTTTTTTCTTTTACAGCCTTCAAAATTTTCTCTGGTTTTCAACAGTTTCCATATCATGTTATCAGGATTTAAAAAAATTTTGCTCTGGGCTTTCTGAGCTTTCTGAATTTCATGGTTAGATGTCTAAAAATATTCCACAGTCATTTCCTTAAAGTATATCATCTGTCCTCACGAGCCTCTGTTCTCCTTACAAGACACATTTCTCCACCTCCTTGTTTAGTGTGTATATAATTCTGTACCTTTTATACTGTAACTTTTGTATTTCCCATTCACCTATCTCCAAGTTCAATGATTTATGTGTATCAAGCTTACTGGTGAACCCAAAGGCATTTTTCATCTTTGCTATTTTAAAAAATTTCTAATTTTCTGATTTTGCTTGTTCTTAGGGCTTCTATCGCTCTTCTGAAATTCATCTGCCCAACTGTGTTGTCCACCTACTCCATTAGGTATTTTAACATAGAATCACAAGCATTTAAATTTCCTTGCTCCATAATACCAACCTCTGGAATGTCTTCATGTCTGGCTCTATTGATTGCTTTGTCTGTTGACACAAGGGTTGATTTTTCCTTCACATTTTAAAAATTTTAAAAAATTATTAAATGTTGGGCACTATGCATACACAGGACAGTAAAGAGATAAACCTAGCGCATACAGTTACAAATGAACACATGTCATCTTCTGACAGTACTTTACTGTGCAGGGCCTGGTCAGTTTATCTTATTTAGGTTTTGTGGTTATGATTACCTCTAGCATTACTTGTGCTTAAGTTCAAGGCTACTTTTTTTTCCTTGATGTTTCTGCCCTGCCCTAAACACTGAACCTTGTCTCTTTATCTTGTCTCCCTCCTCTAGAGGCAGACTGTTGTGACAGGTTAGTGCCTTAGTTTGCTGTGCTGCCAGAGTTCTCCATTGTCCTAGTTTAGACCTGTGTCCCTGGGTCATGGCAATTGGGCTCCTCCCCTAGTGACAGGATATCTTTAATAGCCTGGAGTCAAAACGATTTCCTGTTCCTCCCCTAGAAATAGAGTTGTTCTATATTCTCTTTGTCTGGTCAAAACAGGTGAAGTCTAGAAGATCTGTTGTTGCATTACCACCCCCACCCCCAGTTGCGGCATTTGTGTTACAGGGCAGAAGCGTTCCAGCAGGGACTTCGGAGCTCCTTGCAGTGGCAGCAGCTTGCCTCCTCAGGCCCACAGCACTAAAGAAATCTTTCTCAGTTCCCCTCCTATGCATTTTTTAAAGAAAGTTTTCTGTGTCTTCGGTTGTTTTTGTTTTGAGATTTTTGAGAGACAGGATCTCAGTCACTAAACTGCCCAGGCTGGGTTCAAAATTACAACTCTCTTGCCTCAACCTTCTGGAATACTGGGAGGCATGTGCCGCTAAGTCCAGCTCACTTTTCCTTATGTTAAGTGTGGGTATGTTGTTGTGTTCGAGCTTCCCAAGCCATCTTTGGAACTGATATGAAACACAAAGAATCACAGATCGTCAAAACATTCCGAAGAACAAAGTGATGATGAAAAAAGATAGTGAAGCAAAAACATAAACCAATGAAATGGAGACCCCAGAAATAGACTCAGAAAGGCACAGATATTTACTTTACATTGAAGGTGGCACTACAGAGCAAGAGAGCGCAGAGCCAGTGGGAGTGAGGTAGCTCTGTCCTGAAATGAGAGACAGAGACTTCAGATAAAGTAAAAAATTTTAGCTTTCCTACTGTCAAGAGCTGGATTGGAAGATGCATGGCCACAATGGGATACCAAACAGGTTCACCCTAAATTATATCAATTTGCCCACTCAAGTCCAGTGCAGAGATGGACAGCTTCAGGTTTCCACATAGTCTGCCTTAGAAATCTTAGAATTTGGCTGGACTCAAAGATGCGCAGAAGGCAGTGGGATGAAAAGCAGAGGCACTGAGAAGAAAGCTCTCCATAAAATGAGCCACTCCTTTCTTGGAAAGGAGTGAAGACATTTGCTTTCCCTCTTCAATAGAAGAATGCTGTTTCTTTATATTCTATGGAAATGTGAAGAATGAGGAGTGTTACTTCTTACAACAGACTACCTGTGCTTGGAAGACAGTTCCATGTTTCTTTTCTTTTTTGGCTGGCTCAGCCTGCCCTGGGGGCGGGGCACGTGGTGCCTGGGATTAAACCACTGTCTGGTCCCTGCGCTTGCTTACCTAAGCAGGTGCTTTAATCTGCTGAGCTGCCTCACCGGTGTCAGTTCCATGTTTGTTTTTCTTGTGTTTTGTTTTTGAGACAGGGTGTATCACTAGGTTGTTCAGGCTGGCCTTGAACTTGAAACCCTCTTTTCTCAGGCTCCTGAGTAGCTGAGGTTTCAGGCATGGAACAGTGGATCCTCTAATCCTTGGCTCTTAAGCAAGACTGACATATCCTCCAATCACCTAAATTTCATTTTTTAGTAGCTTTCCTCAAAGCATCTGGAGACATATGTTGAGTGAAGGCTATGAATCTTTGCCAGTCATGTATTTATGAGCAGAGACTTCCTCATTTTCCTATTAGATGTATTAAATTGTGAAACAACCTAAAGCACCTATGAGTCTTGCACAAATAATTCTTTTCCAAAGTTTGGTTTAAGTACTTGCTCATTTTTATTTCCCCTTCCTTTTTTTTTTTTTTTTTTTAAGATTTATTTTTTGTTCTTGGTGCTAAGGACTGGACTGAATCCAGGGCTTCCAGCTTGCTAGGCAAGTGTTCTCCGCTGATCTAAATCCCCAGCCCCTCTTTTTTCCTTTTTGGACAATGAAAACAAATAAATATCTGCAACTTTAAGCCATTACTCCCTTCTCAGTGATGAATGATGATTACTATGTATCCACAAAAGTTTTTACTCATGGTACAAGTTAGGATAATTTGGTCCAAATAATTTCAGTTTACTTCAGGCAGTACATGTTTAATAAAATTCTTATTTTTTTATTTTGAGATAAATGTAGATTTACATTCAACTGTAAGAAACAACATACAGGGAACCCATGTGCCCTAACACAATTTCCTTCAATAGTAACATCTTGCAAAACTATAGGCCACATAGCAAGCAAGTATTTATTGATATCAGGTCATAATACCAAATATTTCCATCACACGTTTTTCTTGTGTTGCCTTTGAATAGTCACACTCAACACTCTCCATCCCCATTTCCCCTTAACATAACTATTACTAATCTGTTCTCCATTTTTATAATCTTGTCTTTCAATAATATTACATAAATGGAATTATATAGTACATAATCTTTTGAGCTTAGCTTTTTCACTTGGAAAAATTCTCCGGAATTAATTCAAGTTGTTGCATGTATCCGTGGTCTGTTCATTTTTAATTGTGGAGAAGTACCTCACAGCATTAGTGTGTATTATTTTCTTTCCCACTGCTGGGACAAAATAACTGGCATGCATAACATAAAGAAGGAGGTTTATCTGCCTCGGTTCCAGCAGGTTCAGACCACTGCTGTCCGACTCCAGGCAGAAACAGTGTGGTAGAAGGTCATGGGGAGGATTGACGAGCATACCAGTGGCAGCCAGGAAGGGGAGGGAAGAGGCAGGAGAGCTGGAGACAAGAATACATACTCTCATGTCTCGCCCCAGCAACCCACCTCCAACCAGGCTGCACCTCCTAACAGCACCTTCAGTGTAAACTCATCAATGGATTAATCAAGCGATGAACATAGTGCCCTGAAGTTCTAGTCACTTTCCAAAGCTCCTTCTTTGAACAATGAGGGACATTTTACGTCTAAACCATAACAAGATGTCACCATTGGTTGAACTATTCACATGTGAAAGGAAATTTGGGTTGTTTTAGCTATTACATGTAAAACGGCTACAAATATCCCTGTAAGGGTTTTTGAAAATATGATGATGTACAACTCTTTGTGTAACTTTCTGGCTGATAACTACAGAGCAAAGGACACCAAAAGATTTGCCAAAAGTCATAGATCATTTCCTTATAACTGACAATTAGCTAATGACTCACTCTTATCAGTGCTTGCAGCTTTATAACTATCTGCTACTTGACCTTGCAAAGTCCTAAACTCTGAGTTTAGTTGAGTAGAGCCATATGTTTTTCACAGTATACATTCTTTAAAATATGAACTCTACAAAATGTTGCTAAGGAAGGGTGTGGATTTCATGGTCACAGTGAATTTTAGAACCCTCTTCTGAAATGAACGAATGCACAGTAGTGTATAAAGGGAAGAATCCTGCATCCAACTTCCCAAGTTCACATCCCAGCTTTATTGCTGGCTAGCAAGGCACTTCATACCTCCTTTACCTGTAAAATGAATCTGGTAGGACCCAACTTGTGTGAACAGAAGATTACAAGGACACATAGAAAGCAGATGACAAATGCTATTATTTATTATTATTATTGCCATCACAATCCAAAGCATCATCAAAATCATGATGATCTTGTTAAAATACACAGGCCTATGCACAAAATTAGTACACTCTTTAAACAACTATCCTGTAGTCCTGCTAAAGAGTGCAATTGTCTTTTTTTTTTTTTTTGTAAGCTCAGCCCACCCTGGGGTAGAGCTGGTGTGGCATATGGTGCTGGAGATTGAACCGTGGACCCTGGCAATTGTCATTAAAAATGGGACAGTAACACCATAAAATCACAATTCCTCAACAGTTCAATAAAAAAATACAACTAGTACAAGCATGAACATATCAACTTTCAAAACAATTCCTAAACATTATATAAAATAAAATACATGAAAATTTTATTGATGAGTCATATCATAGGAAATCAAATCTGAAAATGACATTATTTCCATAGCAATAAAGAAAACAATCATGATTGCTAGTATTTCCTCAGGCTCCTCCACTATGCCCCTCATTTCTGAAGGTCCTCTCATTACTAAGCACCAGGTCAATTTCCATCATGCTCGGGACTCATTCTGAAGGTGGTGGCAATCTTCTTACCACTTCTGCAGCAATCCTCAGGTAAGCTTTGGCCTGGAAAAGGGCAAGACTTGTTTGTTCTGTATGTCTCTCCCACAACACTGAGTGGCTTGTGAACTGTTTGTCATGGATGCCTGCTGTATTTGGAAGTATGTGGGAGAAGGAAGTTCAGTCACGAGAAGATGATGCTGTGTACAACACAGGTAGAGCAGGAGAGAAAGGTTTCTACATGTGAAGGGAGGTGCCTTTATGAAAAAACTTACAGTACCAGAAAATACTGTTTTTCAAACTCTAGTCTTCATATAAACTAACTAGCAACCCAGTATGATTGCAGAAAATTATATCTTCTTCCTATGACAAATTGATAGCCTGACTTAGATAATGCAAAAATTTCTTTAGCATAAGAACTATTAGTCATTTTTGAGGAAGATTATTTATTACCATCCTTTGTTTTATCTTAGAAAGTTACTTTCTTCTTCTTTCCTGAGACTAGTTTGCAGTACTAACACTAAGCACTCACAAACTTTCACCCGGTAAGTTCTGGGTATCAGGCAAGAATTTCAGTTCAGTCATTACACTCTTAATCTCTGGGTTTCCCTGTGCAGTGAATTATTAGCAGTAGCTCCCAAACCACAGAGCAGGCTACAAACTACCCCAATGCCCACATGTCCACATTATAATGAAATAATTTCAATACAAATACTGTTTACTTTTCATACCTCTTTCATGAGAAATAATAATAAAACACAATAGTAAGAATTTCTAAATTTCCTAATTTAAAGGTACAGAATTTAAACTATACTTTGATATGCTTATGTACCTACTTCTTTACTATTAATGGTAATAGTCAAAATTTACTGAGCACTTACTATTTACCAAGTGTACCCTTTTATCTGCAGTTACTTGGGGTTAAATTCTGCCATGATCACCTTATAGACAACGGAAACATTCACAAAGGTGAAGTCTGTATAAAACATTATTGCCAGTAGGTAATGAGCTGGGCTTTGAACCAAAGCTGACTGATTTCTACTCTGCATGGTTAAAGGAGATATCTGAGATCTGTTTTACTGACTTGGTGAAGTGATTTAAGGATGTCCATACATTTGTCATTTTTAAAGACTATTCTGAGCTTTAACAGCTGAAGCATGTTTTATTTTACCAGGACAGTGTTAAAGTTTCCTTTTAAAAGTCCTTTAAAAAGCACTAAAAACATGAATAAGGCTTCAATTTTTCTTTTAAACTGGATACCTGTAATGCCAGGCACTTCATGTTTTACATGACTGAGTGATCTCAGTCATGTAAAACAAGCATCCTTAGCTCAACTCAGATGAAAAACTGGGAGTTACTTGTTCAAGCTCATGAAATCAGCAGTCTGGAAGACAAAGAAATCTGGATCCAACTGACTCTAAAGCCCAGCTCCTTCTATTATACCATATATTAAGCAGTGAACTCGTAAGAAATTCTAGCCATAATGCATAGTCTAGAGTGGTTTCACTATGTTATAGTTAACAGAGCAATAGTTTTGGCTTAAAAATAGAAATGAGGTACATTTATAAAGAAATATTTCTTTCATATTTAATGTGCTAGCTTTTCCATAATATTCCAAGTATTTATGTCTAATATTTTGTGATAAAAATTTAAAACTCACTAAAGAGAGCTGAGGAAAGGACATCACTCTGTAATTTCTTAGTACTTATCCACATTAAATTATATACATAAGCCTAACAGAATAGCAAAAAATTCTGAATAATTACAGAACAATGAAATTTGCCATATTTAACTTTGCTTTTCAACAAAAATCTCCACTATATTTTTAATATATCACATCAAGGTAACAGATTGTCATTTGCTGAGAAACCACTGAAAGTGCTTAAACAGTTACAATGTCTACGAAACTGCTGAGACATCATTTTTTTAGCCTATGTGGTATCATTTCAGCAAATATACTTTTGTTCTTAATGCACGCAAAGCATTGTGTTGGCAAATCCATGTAATAGAAAGACATAAAATGGAAGCAGAACTGCTCACTGGTGAGGAGTTGGACCCTTGAAGTCAGGCCATATTTATTTTTATTTTTTCATAATTTTATTGAGAAACAAATAGCAATGAGACAGTTTCAAATCAAATTGGTAGGACAGTTTCAATAATTAACACATTGCATACATTCTTCCTAGTGGTTAATTGCTGTACAAGATTCTGACATGATATCCTATTTAAAAACACCATTAGAACAAATCCCTCTATTCATTTAGAGAATGTAACTATATATCTATCCTAACCACTTTGAATACACAAATGGACATTCATCTGTATCCCCTTTTTTTGTTAAGTTCCATTATTTGAATATTATAAGTGTGCAAACTCAGCAAAATATTCTGAAAGAGTCCAGTAGCCCATAATAGTGTTGGGTCTTCCGCTTGACTGGCAATGTCAGAAATTGTTGACCTGAGTCCCCTACAGCTCAACATAACAGCATGGCTTTACTTCTTATGCTTTGTTTTTATACTTTTCTGCTGGATGGTTAAGACCAAGGTAAAACAGGACCTATGCAACAAGAGTTGTAGCTTTTGGGTTTGATAAGGTCAGTGAAATCCCCTCAGGATGTATCCTGAGATGCTGTACCTCAGATTGTAGAACCTTTGTCAGTGTCAGCCATGTGGATGAGTCACGGCCATTGCCTGCAGGCCGCATTTAGAATCCTGGATTCAATATTTATTTGCTAAGGACAGGTTACTTAATCATTCTAGTTTCTACACCTGTAAAATGATTAATATAATAGTGTCTGGCTGCAAGATTTCAAGGACTTTTAAAACCTCTTCTTTTGAATTTTTCCCCCCCATCTCTTTGAGACAGGTCTTACTACGCAGTCCACGCTGGCCTTGAGCTCACTCTGTAGCCCCCGCTGGACTCGAACACACAACAATATTTTTGTCTCAGCCTTCCATGTACTGGGATTATAGGGATGCACCCCCACACCTGGCTAAAACTGCTTCTTTTGTACCACCACTTCTTACACCTTATTTCCACTTAAAGAATAATTAAATCACTCCTTTTGTTTAAAGTGTATCTAGCAAGAAGGTGACACATACTGGTGTTCGAAAAACATAGTAAATATTTAAACTTTTAAAAATTTATTATAACGAAAGATATATTATTATTATTGATTCACCTCACAATTTTCCTTCTTTCTTCCAACACACTCATCCCACTATTCTTGCTACTTTCTGAAGCACTTCTGGAAGTCCTTCTTCTATGTCTTTGACTGCTCTGTCATCACTGTGTCAACTGTTCTCAACTAATTCAAAATGCTTACCTTCCGTGGTCATTTTGACTTTGGGGAAGAATCAGAAGTCACAGGGCTTTTAGAAACAGTACACGCACGTAATATATGTTGATTCCTCACAAACTAAGAATGATAAATTATCAATATAGTTTAGTATTTGCTAATTTTGCTATACTCTTTTATTATGTATATGTAGGGAAGTCATAGGGATTATAAATTCGATTTGAGCAAAGTTTAAAACCATATATTTTATGATAAAGGACCTTTAACTTAAGATGGCCAAAGCACTGAAATTATGTATTTGCTGTAAAGAGAATTATAAGAGTTTTATTTTTCTTATATTAAATGTTACTTAACAAAGATTTGTTTCCATTAACTTGAAAAAAAAAAAAAGTCACAGGGCACCAGATCTAGTAAATGAGGAAGATGAGGACATACTACAGTGTTTTTAAAAGCCTGAATTTCTGCTGGATGGCAAGTGGCACCAGCATTCACTATATTTTACTAAACCTTATTAAAGATACAAAAAGAACTTCCAGAACTGCTTTAGAAAGTAGAGGGTAAATGTGTTTGAAATAAGGGGGAATATACTGAGGGGGGAGTAATGGCATTGTGTCTTTTATTGTAATACGTTTTTAAAACTTAAAATATCCACTGTACATTTTGATCACACTTTGTACATCCTATATAAAATATATGATTGAGATTTCTATTAATTTCTATTAATACTCCTTGCTTTCATTTACTCAACTCTACATAGACTAACACCCCCCCCCTCTCCATTCTGGGTCTTTTTAAAAAGCTACTTAAAGGCATACATAATACAGTTGGATCCAATTTATATGCTTTATCACTAACAAGCAACAGGGATCAATGGTAACCAAAGTGAAAGAAATTTTATGGACATTTCCTTTGTATTTTTTAAAAAATATTTAAGCTCAAAATTATCATACATAGCCACTTCATATTACAACTCTGAGGTGATAATTTAGAAATTATAAAAGAAAATTTCTGCTTATATTAGAAAGTCTTTATAAGGAGTATCTTACATAGGAGTACCTTTTGTATGCTAATACTTAATAAAAAGGATAAAACCACATGAGTCCATTACTTGTGTCTGAGCCAAAGGAAAGGATAATCAACAATTATAATCCAGTTTTCATGAAACAATTCTACTTAACTAAAGAGTTCTAAATGTCTACTTTCTCACTCTTCTATTGTTTTCTCCAGCTGCTATACTACTCACATTTAAGTTTTGCTTCGTCCTGCTTCCTAACTAATACATATGTATAGAAGTGTTTTTCCCATTTACTGTGGAATCATCGAACTGTTAGTGTGTTTTCTAATTGGTACCGCTAGACCTTGCAATGTCTCCAAGATGTCTCAAAAATTCACACCTTTAAGTTGACCACTGCCTTTCTAGTATATGCCTTTCTCAAAGTTAAATGTTACTGCGAAAGTTACATCTCTAATGTCTAAATTTTCGGAGCTAAAAGAGAGACTTCTGAGCCTTGGCAGCAGAGGAGGAAGTGAGGGAATATGGAAAAGAGAAATACAGATTATTGTATTTACCTCACAAAGATGCTGAGAATCAGGTCAGATCATATATTCAGCGCACCTAACCATTTTATCAATCTCTGAAGAAACTGTAGTACAGGAATTTTACACAGGACTCAGAAGGTGATAATCACGGACAGAGGCCAACTTTGAAAGGAAAAGACTTGTCTTTTAATCATACCTTATATAATAGTTCTGCAATCTTAGAAAATTATTTAACTTCCTGAACCTCAGTTTCCTCATTTGTCAAATGGTGGCTATCCACATTCTGCATTAAATTGTTGTGAAGATAGAAAGAACATAAGTAAAATGTCTGACAGTATCTGGTACACTGCAATCACTATTATAAGGAAGATTAATAATAATGAATGTCTACAACCTAAGAGTTGGAAATAACATCTTCCAATGAAAGAGAATGAGGTACAAGTCACTATATATTTTCCTTTTCATGGCCATGTCTAAATCTTTTTTATTTTATTTTTTTGCTTTTGGAGACTTTCAAAGAAAGCTAATAATGAATAGGTCAAAAAATTACTCATAATTAAAATAAACTAGTAGGGGATGATTTTTGTCCATAGGGAACCATGTGATGTCTTTACTCTGTTTCTGGGAAGCATTTAAAGGTACAGAATTTAAAGAATTCCCAATTTTCATGCTTTTTGTATAATACTCATATAAAGCACATCTGTGATGGTTGGGGCTTTTAGACTTTAATTATGGAAGCAGTAAAGAATTATAGTTTTGTGTATATGAAATCTTCCTAGGAAAGACTTACATGAAGTTAACATTTAATACTGAAAAGGCAGAGAAAACAAAAGTGATAATGACTACACTGTATTTATTCACACTGTCAGTAACTTGATTGCATGTTCCATAACTGCTGATCCCGTGGAAAGAAAAGAATCACTGGGTCCTAAGAAATGACTCAAAATGGATCGATTGCATTTATCTAAGACTACTGGATTAACTTCCTCTTAACTTTATTTATAGATTTAATTATTCTGGGCCTTTTATTTGCTAGTTTACAGAATATCAGAGGAAGCAAACTAAAATAAAAACTGGAGTGGTTATACATAGGAAAAATCATAGTACTACAATGTTATAAAGTTATAATCAGTAACTCAGGGGAAAAAAGAAAACTGTTAGAAGACTGGTTGGAGGTATTGAGGAAAGGGGAGCAAAAACTACATCAAAACTTGGTTGTACCAGTTATGAAATGGTGCACCCCTGTAATCTCAGCACTCAGAAAGTGGAGGTAGGTAGACTGCTGAGAGTGGGAGGCCAGCCTAGGCTACACAGTGGGTCAAAGGCCAGCCTGTACTACAGAGTGAGACCCTGCCTAAAAATAAATAAAGAAGTAAATAAATAGAAAAAAAAAAAAAACCCTCTGATATACAAGAGACAACTCAGTTTCTAAATTAAATAGAAAGTACTATTTAGAAAATACAATTTTATTTTGTCTCAATTTTAGTATATGTGCTGCCAAAATGAGCACATGATTTTATTTCTATTTTGAAAAAAGACTGAAATAAAGAATTTTAAATATTATGCTTAAAGATTTTATGGAGCCAGTGAGATAGCTCAGCAGACTAAGCACCTGCTTGCAGAGGCACTGGGTTTGATCCCCAGCACCACATGCTGTGTGGGCCCCTACAGAGAAGCATGCCTCTAATCCCAGCAGTGGGGAGGCTGCAAACAGCAGAAGGATCACTATGAGTCCGAGCTACATAGTGAGACCCTGTACCAAATACATTTTTTAAAAAAAGATTTTATGTATAAGCAATTTAAAAAATCTATCACCCACATCCCCAATGTTGTTGGCCAATGGAACACTACCAGTCTATCTCACCTCCCATTATATTTATTAAAATAAATTAATGAATACCTCATTCTAATAACTGGATGCCCTTTATCAGACTTAACACTTTCTTATGTTTTGTTTTCTTTTTATAATAATCAACCAAATTTGCAATAGTGAAATACAATAACTTTAAGTAGTTAGACATTGCTAACAGCAAGATGAGAATTTTATAAACTCCCATTACTTGTGTTTTTCCTGAGAAAAAAGATCAGGAAATGACTCTCTGCAGGTAAATTTATTGAGCTGACAATTGATAGCATGTAAAGAGGGATCAAACATACTTTGGACATTTACCTAATTCTTGTTTATATATGTATGTCCTATCAACATATAAGCTTGATCTACCCAACTTTCTGCATATCAAAAAGTATGTATCTGACAAGGAAATAATAATACACATTTAAACATGTAACTTACCTCCTCACTTTCAGGCTGTGAAAACACAACAGGTTGGCCTGAATCTGAAGCTTCCCTTATACTGAGGTGTAGTGGAATGTCTCCTAAAAAAGCCCAAGAAGCATCAGTTACACCAGAGAATTTACAAAGGCATTCAGAATCTTACAATTTGAACAATGGAAATAAGATGGAACTCATTCGAATTAAGTTATGTCTATCCTCAATTTATTAAATCTCTGAAAAATGAATTTCAAATGAAAATTAAGGGATAAAATATTCAACTTGAGGGTGACTATGTATGTGTAATGAAAACTAGCAGGTAAAAGATGAAACTTCTAAGGACTGGCCAGATAACTCAGTGGATTAAAGCGCCCACTTAGGCAGTGGCAGGGACCAGGCAGGGTTCAATCCCAGGACCAGGGTTCAATCCCGCCCCTGGGGTGCGCTGAGATTGCAACTGAGACTGGGCATGGTAGGGTGCACCTCTAATCCCAGCACTTGGGAGGCTGAAAACAGGAGAATCAGTATGAGTCTGATCTATGTAGTGAGAGCCTATAGACTCTGTACTAAATACATAAAAAAAACTAAGAGATGAAGCCTCTGATTTATTCTCTGCTGGGGGTCTTCCAGCAAGAAATGGCTTGGAAGACTTTTGTAACTAAGAGATTTTCTCCTGTAATATTGAATACAGATATATCATGCCACATAGTAAGAGAAACCAAAGAGGAAATGATGCAGAAGCATAGTCCAAAAATACAATAAAATCGTCTTCCTAATCTTGGCAGACAAGTGAGCTAAGAGAAAAGTTAAAAAGGCCAGACCTATTATCTCAACTCTGCCTCTTCAACAGAATTATTCCCCTTTACCATTTTTAATTTGTTACTTTATATATAACTGGTGTGCATCATGAGTTTTCAGGAGGTACTAAATATGACCTCTAGTACATAGGCTACTGTTGGAGAGGCTGTGTGTTTCTCCTAAGGATATATTTCCTTTAAGAGAAATAGTTCCATCATCCTGTACCCACTTTCCACCACCCACACCATCACAAATGAAGTCTTTCAAGACTGAGATTTAAACTGCAATAAAGGGAGTCCTAAGTACCTGTCATAGTACTCAACAGTCTCAGAACCACTCCAAATCCAGGCAAATGTTACTAAAATGTGTGAGTGCTTTATATAAATAAGTCATTCAGCACCCTGCCAGGGAGTGTAAATAATGTAGAAGTGTATGTCACAAAAAAGTACAATTTATTATGTAGTAGATGACAGAGGAACAGATACTTCATGTTCCTGTTGTCAGAAAATTTTTCAGTGTTAATTCTTAAGTCTTTCCTTAATACCTAATAGCCAATAACAAGTACATGGATATTTCATTAACCATTTAAAAATTAGCTTTTAGTAAATGTTGTCTCTTCTACAGATGAATTTAAGACTGTAGAAAAATATCACAGGGGAAGACATGATATAATAGACTATAGAAAATGTCCAGAAGCCCATAAAATAATTTTTCTCTCTCTGCTCTGCTCACGTCCTCTCTCCCCTCCTCACCCCTGTTGTGCTGAGGATAGAACTGAAGGCCTCACACGTTAGACAAGTACTCAGCTACATCCCTAGGCTCAGGATTTTTCTCTTGGTTTATGAGCTACCATTACAGTCTAGAATCCTGGATGTCATCTTTTCTACTGCTGATATGGAAGTAAAAAGTAAACACTTCTTTATATAGCCACCTATTGACACTGTTTTGCCCTTCAAAGACTCACACAAGAGCAGACTATGAAAGGGAATGGCCTTGTTAGAAAATAGTGAGAGAGGTCTTAGGCTAATAATTATATCAAGGGAGGAGGAATGGCATAAAGAGTGACAAAGAGCAGTTCGGGTATGAAAAGTGTCTCTGAGGGATCAGCTCTGGAAGAGATGAGGACACATCCAAGATATGAAATAGATGAAAAAAGGCTTTCTTGGAGGTAGCCTGAGACTCTAACTGTTAAGCATAAACTCTCTCTGGAAGTAAACATGGACAAGATTCTAAAGAGCCTTCTTAACAAATAATCATTTAAAATCCAACCCAAAGGGTAAAAATAAATTAAGCAGCTGCCAGGAAGTTGGTACAGGGCAAATGAGGGTTCACAGGGAGTTTGAACAGCTGGAAGACCATAGCTGAGAGAACTCTTCCTGATTTTTGTTCCTCTTTCCCAATTCTAGCCTCTTCATAACTGAATTCCCTTCTCCAGTTTGTGGGAGACACCTCTGGGACAATGATTACACTAAAAGCAGGAGCTGAGTCCTGAGTTGGAACGATATAAATTACTTTTCCCATAACACTGTTTGACACAGCAGTCTATGGCAATACCCAGTTTTTGTGATTAGTAATTAGTGTTTCTGATACATTTTCAGGAAACTGTACATTTGTGAGCCATTGGTTGAAATATAACTTCCAAATATGAGAGTCTACAAGATGTTTCAAATACTAAATAAATGACTTACAAAATTGTACCACTCATTTATAAGTCAGAAAATTATAATATTTAAGCATAATTCAATAATGCCATTATAACTACACATTTACTTTATTATGTAAGTGAATGTCAATCTGTTATGCTATTATGCAGATCTACATAACTGAACTTTCTAGGTTAGTTAAATCAAAAACAGTTGCAGAATATAATTAGTGTCTGTAATTATAGCAACGTATCAAAATATATTGTTAGCATTCACCTGATATTATAGTTTCTGCTATAGTGCAAATGAATAACAATAATACATTTAACTTTCAGAAACTTAATTATGATAAAGGATGTTTTGAAATTCTTTGATCTCCTAGGGATCCTAATTTTTTAACTACCTGAAACTAATAATTTACTTTACATGGTCCTTATTCAGTATCTAATATCTGCCTTGCCCAGAACATAGTCACAGAAAACATGTTTTCTAAAAAGTCTATTAATGGGGCTAGGGAGATGGCTCAGTGGAATACGTGCTTCCCTGGCAAGCACAAGGGTCTGAGTTCAATCCCCGGTTCCACCAAAAAAAAAAAAAAAATAATAAAAATAAAAAGTCTATTAAGTTGCTGTGGGTTTCTGAAAAACAGTATTTTATCCAAAACTCCATTTTTATGTATACCTGTTTATATAAACATTTATGGCCAACTTAGTAACCAAACTGATGACTGCCATTTAACATATGGCTTCAAATCACTTTGACCACAAATATGGGTAAATGAACCTAAACAACAAAATTCTCTCTTAAATTTATTTTATCTAGGGTAAGGAGTATTATCATAGTTGGTAAGAAGGACCTGTTTTAAAAAGTCAAAGAAAGATAAACACAGAATGGCACTAACAGAATTGACAAAACCAAAGGCAATTGAATTGCTCTTTACTGCCAGGCCTCATCTCCATTTTCTCTTCTGCAATCTGCCCTGTGAAAGAATATCACATGGTCTTACCCAGGACATCAAGCTTAAGGGTCTGTGCTAGCCTCTTTGCACCATCAGCACCAAAAATATGAGTTTTGTGTTTACATTTTGGACACTGGAAAACACTCATATTCTGGATAAGGCCAAGAACCTAAAATAATAAGAATGCATTGAAATTAAAATAAAATCACATCAGATCTCAACATATCATTTCAACATGTTTTCATTTTAGCTACTAAGTAGTGATATAAGGACAAGTTATGGTTTCTGTTCTTAAGGAACTTAGAAGTTAGTGAGAGATCACGACTTATGTAATTATTTTAATATGGTGAAAAATGCTAAAAAGAGACAAGTAAACTGCAACCAAAAAATTCTTCATTAGGAAGACTAAGAGTTGTCCTTGGAGGGGGTCAGGCCTATAGCAGAATACACAGACAGAAGGAAAGATACAAATAATGCAGCAAAATAAGAGTATATGGGCTGCTACCTAATGGATGTCAAGGCAAAAGATGGTTTGGTAAGGCAAGTTAGGGTCAGATGGTAAGGTGCTAAGTCCTGTCCATGTATTTGCGATTATCTTGATCAGATGCAGGAAAGAACAAAGGTTTTTACAGTTGAAAAGATGGTCCCAAAGCGGTAGTGTTATAAATCACTTGTGGGAGAAACTTACTGAAGGCAATATGAAGAAAGGGCAGAAAGAGGAAAACAGTTAAAAGGTCAACTATGGACAAAATCTCATGGTCAATACTAGGCTAAATAAAAAACTAAATAATAGATGGATACCACAAAATAAGGAGGTAGATCTTTTACCAAGGGGAAGTGGACCAAGCAAAGGAGGGAAGAGGGCAAGGGGCATGGGGAAAGGGATGAAGAACCAAACCATGTTATGTATTGCTATGTATTTGTACCAACTCACCATGAGGAATGCAATCATTATGCACTGCAAACATGTACTAGCAAAAAAATTGAAAAAAATACTAGCCACCATATACCGAGTGCCTATTGTGTACCATGTACTAGAAAAAAGTGCTTTAAAGGTGCTATCTTACTTGCTCCTCATAAGAACTTTAGTAGTGGGTCTTTTATCATATACAATCTGTAGCTGAGGAAATGGACAGTGCTAGCAAAAGACTGAATTTCAGCTCTTATTAGAATATTTTTGCTTCAAACAAAATTTCTCTATCTTCTACATGAAATAGTTATTTAGTAAACACTATTATTAAATAGTCTTAAAAAATATACTGGCTCTGTAAATATAATCTGTATTCAGATTTCTTTTAATATCACTTTCTTATTGATGAAAAGCAGTGTCTCTCTTTCAAAATAAAAATAAAGAACACCACCATCAGAGGTTTAGAGATGGTAATGCTTGTATCATCTTATCAGTTCCACCATAAGAGCATCACTATATCTTACTAGAACATTTACAATTTAAATGAAGAAGCACTGATAGTCCATAATACAACACACAGACAAGAAGGGGTTAAAATTATTCTTTCTAAAAACAGTAAGAGGAAAAAAAAAACTAAGGTGGCCCATAGCACATGTAAATGAATACAAATAGCAAAGGACATGAATATGAGACAAAGAATGTTCCCACACATTTAATATAGAACCTTTTACTCATGGAATACATCACAAGACTATTTGATAACTTAAAACCATTTCCAAAAATGCTAGAAGACAAACATGGCTTAATATCACAGAGTTTATCTGTTTATTTACTATGTCTACATTATATACTCATTGCCTAGGCAGTTTTACTGCCATTTATGTTAAATGTTGTTTGTACACTGACTGTAGGGCATTCAACTTAAAAAAAAAAAAAAACCCTGATCAATAAGAGAAAACAGTGGAAATATTTAAAACAAAGTGAACATCTCTAAGTGAGTGCGTATTTCAAGAGAACAGAAAAAGCAGTCTTGTCTTGGAATCTCTTGGATAATCCTAGACCTGGATGCATGGAGCAAGAGTGAATTTGCAGTTTGGGTGATTTATTTATTATCAAACTGTTCTCTATGGACTATATAGATATTTCAGATGCAGTTTCTACAGACTACATAAATATCACATACCTAAAATATAAAACTATAATCTAACAACATTTAAGTGCTCTTATTAATATATGCCAGCATTCAGACAAACACAAGGCACAGCAAGCATGCAATGGTGACCTGAAGCTTGCTCCCTTGGAGTATGCACTTTAATTGGAGAAAGGAACTGAATGAAAAATACACTTCTCTGGAAGCAAACTGGTAGGTATTACAAGACAGTAGAACAGAAAAAACTCAATCTCTTCTAAGAGTCAGAGGTTTATTAAGGAAAGATTTAGGGCAGTCAGATAAATGTTAGAGAAAATCAGGTAAAAACAAGGAGAGTGAAGAGAAATATTTAACACAGAAGGAGCACCTAAAGTCCAGTTTGAGGCTACTGAGTATGAAAGGCATGAGTGGAGGCTGAAAAGGTAGAACTTAGCTATATTCAGGTGTCTTGTTACGTAATCAGTGTGAAGCAAGGTCATTAAATGGTTTGTGTAGAGAGGTCACTCTGTTGCTAATGAGACTGTAGTAGACTCACTACTCACAGTTCAATTCAGAGGTTTTAAAAACAACACAAATTAATGGAAAAACTAAAAAGATTTGTCTTTGTATTGCTTATTTTCTTAGAAAATTAAAATTCAGGGCTGTGTTCTTCAAAAAAAATCATGAGAGAGATGATTATTTTTACTACTGTCTAAAATATATCCAGTTGGAAGATAACTCTCTGTTTGAAAGTCAGAAGTTTTGTCAAAAAATATGAAACTTCTTTTAGTTTAAGGATAAATGCTCCAATGTTGTTTCCTATGTCACCTTGAATAAACTAATCTCACTTAACTCTAGAATTCCCTCATCTTAAGAATTTCTAACTCATAAACTACTTTGCCTGACTTGGAAAAAAAATTTTGGTTATAGCATAACATGACAGAGAACCCACCACAGGTCTGAAATGAAAATCACTGATCTGATTTACACTTAAACTATCACATACAAGCTTCACTTCAAATAACAATAGAAAGAAATTTTTTTTTGTTTTTGGTTGGGGGCCAGCAAGATAGCTCAGTGGACTAAAGTGCCTGCTTAGGCAAGCTTAGGCAAGCTCAGGGACCATGGTTTGATCCCTGACACCACATGCCGCACCAGCCCCACCACCAAGGTGGGCTGAGCTGGCCACCAAGTCTGGGCATAGTGGTGCATACTGTAATCCCAGCACAGGGAAGGCTGAAAATAGGAGGATATTGAGTCTGAGCTGTATGGTGAGACTCTGTAACAACCAGGCATGGTAGTGCATGCCCATAATCTCAGCAGTCTGGGAGGTTGATGAGAGAAGATTGTAAATTCAAGCCTAGCCTAGGCAAATTAATAAGACTCAGTCTCAAAAGGAAAAAGAAAGTAACAATGAGAAGATAAGCAATAAAGCAAAAAGTAATAAAGTGGTGAGTACAAATAATTAAAACAATGGTGTATTATGTATCTTATAAGCCTGCATACAAAAACAACCACCTACTTTATATTCTATAAAAATGAAGATGTAGCAGTATAATTAAGATGACTTCCTTAGGAAGGACACTATTCTGTTCTTCCTAACATGCCAATGAAAAGCTGAAAGAAAGTCTAACCCCAGAGAGGTTCCCCAAAGATAAGAGTTACACACTTGCAAGGTCTAATATGTAATCATGTGGCTACTGAGCACTTGATATATGGCTAGTCAAAATTAACCCTTCAATATTTAGTTTTCCATTTTTGAAATGCCTATTACAATGGAACATAATGAAATTTTTTTCTCTTCAAATTGATTCTTTAATATTTCTAGGTAACATACATGAATTTCATATAAAATTTTTAAAACTGCAATCTTCTGCATAAATGGGATAAGATGAAGTTTTACTGGAAAATATATACTGAATATAAATGATAGTATGAGTAAATGCATGTAAGATATTCAGTAATCTTTTAAGCTTATGAACTATTTTTTTATCAAAGTATATCATGAATACACAAAATACACAAATCCTAAATGTATGCAGGAATAGACTTACAAAGAACACACACATCACTGACACCCAGTAAAGAAATAAAAAAAGAAAAGAAAGAAGAGCTTTTGAAAAAAAGAACACACTGTCAGCCCCCTACGAATTTCCTCTTATGCCCTCTAAAACAATTCTCCAAAGATATATACTAATATGATTTCCAACACCATAAATTACTTTTCTACTGGTCTTGAACTTGGTATGAATACAACTCTGAAATGTATGCTTTGTTCAAGTGATTCATATAGCTAAAGTTTTCGTTGAGTTTCACGACTTCATACTACATTCTCCCACTGATCGACTTAGGCTATTTCCAGGCTCTGGATTTTATAATAATGCTTCTATAAATATCTTTAGGTGTCCCAACCCCTTTTTGGCTAGTATGAGATTACATCCCACACTATCCTTTCTACAGTGGTTTTACTTTGCATTGTCATAGTTATTAATAAAGGTAGTATATTTCAAAATGGTCTTTGCCATCTGTATGTTATCTTCTGAAAAAACATCCATGTGTTTTGCTTATTTTACAAATGATTTTTTTCTTATTGAATTGTAAGACTTCATAGTGTCACAAAATAAAACCTGTTGGCCAAAGATAAAAAAAAAAAATCGACATTAAAAACCCAAGAACTTTTTCTATATATCAATAATGAGACTAGCTGAGGAATAAATCAGAAAAACAATTCCATACACAATAGCTTTAAAAAAAAAGACTTACTGATCAATACAACCAAAGAAGTGAAAGATCTCTATAATGAAAATTACAGGATAATAAAGAAATTAAAGACACTAAAAGATGGAAACACCTCCTGTGTTCATGGATCGGCAGAATTAACAGTTATGATGGCTACTACCAAAACAACCTCCAGATTCAATGCAACCCCTTCAAAATGTGAATTATATTCTTCATAGGACTAGAATAAAAAACCCTAAAATTCATATGAAAACACAAAAGACACATAATTGTCAAAGCAATTCTAAGCAAAAAAAGGAAAGCTGCAGATATTATGCCTTATTTCAAATCATTCTACAAAGCGATAGCAAAACAAACACACAACAACCCTCCCCCCGCCACAGCATGGTAC